AGCGATTGACGTACAAAAAAAGTCTGCGTTATGTAAATATCGAATTTCTGCACATTCTTTGAATATTGAAAATGGAAGGTATAAAAGCCTTCCCCGAAATGAAGGCAAATGTTTATTTTGTAAGATGAAAGAAGTAGAAGATGAATTTCATTTTGTTTTGATATGCCCTGCATTTTCTGATTTACGTAAAAAAAATATATTAAGCCTTATTATTATTAAAAAAAAACTTCCTTTTTCAAACTCATTCAACTTTTTAGTGCATATAATTTTAAATCTATTCAGAAACTTTGTCAATGTTTATTGAAAGCTACAAAACAAAAGGAAACACTGATTTGTTGAATATCATTAATGATGTTTCAAATTTCAGTTAGTTAGATTCTATCTTTGTTACAAACTCATTATATCCATATATTTATATATTGTAGTTCGTTTCGAATCCTCTGTCATTTGCCTGTATTGTGTATATTTGTGTACTTATGAGCCACAAGAGTCCTGTGGTCAACAATAAACTAAACCTACTGCGACACGGGAACTCGGTTTATACGGTCTCACCGAAGGACCGGTCTCCTCGTCCTGCAGTGGGATTCGAACCCGCGACGTTAGGATCAACTTAGACTCTTGAATAAATGCTCTAACCACTGCGCCACGCGGGCGACCAGGACCTTTTTGAGGGATTATCTTATTTAGCCCCTTTCTACCTCAGAGTGCCCCCTTCATATATCAGAATTTTCTTTGTCGTTAGTAGAATAGAGTCTATCCTTTCAGTCCAACCACGCAAAGCAGACTTTTGACTATTGTTAAGAAGTTTCCTTGTCCTGAGGAAATATCCCCTTCCTTTCCGAGATCCTCACCCTTTTTAAAACTAAAATTCAACTTTTAAACAGTTTTGTTAAAGAGAATACAGTTGGCAATATCACCTGTATGCAGTGTCAGTCAGCACTTGGCAGAAACTTCAACCCGCCTCTCACCGCTATTTCTTTTGAAACCTCAACTTTTTCCTCTTTTCGCTGTCTTTCCTTTCTCAATGTGTATCGTGTGATATAGAATTTTATAGTAAAATTCAATTAAAAACAAATAATTAATATAAAACCGGTGTTGTAGAGTAGGATTTCCCCCATAGATAGTCCTCCTCCCCTGGAATCTATACTCTAAAGTAGGATCCCCCCGAAGGAAAATCTCACTATAGAACCAGACTTCCCCCTCTTCCTTTCTCAGAGTAGGATTTCCCCTCTTTTATCAATGCTGAGTCACATCGACAATATTCTGACTAAAAGTTTATATGAAAGTCAATTGATTTTTTTTTAATGGAAAGATGAGTGTTTTCGACCCAAGAATTGTCGAAATTAGTATGAAATCTTAAAATATATATAGTTCAATTCATCGAGTCTCAACCCAAAATTTAAAGTCATATAGGCAACTGTCACTCAAAAAATCGTAAAACTCGATGTTTCAACACCCTCTCTTGGCACAACGCTACCTGTTTTTTTTTCACGAATTTTAAAATGTATATCAGGTCACCTTTAGTGATTTGATAATTTGTTTGCCCTCTGCAGGCCCAGTATTTCATCTATGGATTGATCCTTTTTACAAAGAGTGTGTGAGAAAATTCTTAAATTTATGTTATTGAAAGGTTTCATATTCCAATTTATGGGTATTTGAATCGAGTAGTTCTTCAAAGGGAAACTTTTTTTAAAAGCCAAAACCAGAAACAAAACAATACAAGAAACACTTCTTTTGCACGCCAAAGCTATGTCCCCTCGACAGAGAGCAAATACTCTCTTAAAGTTTTGCAAAATTAATTTTTTCTTAGAAATGAATGACCCATATTTAGTTCCATGGCAACGGGAGCTATTTTGGATATTTAAACACCAGAATCTCGAAGAGACAATTGCACATCAATGTTATGAATATTTAGATTGAAATTCAATTGTAGAAAAAAATCCAATTGAAATAAAATTCCATTTTTGTTTCCATGAATACAGTTAAGATTTGTCCAACCAATTATATTGTACCTATATTTTTTCAGTAATCAGTTTGACCTGATCAAAAGAATAAGATTTTACTGCGTCAAAAGAATTGGTTGGGTAGTTACTGAGAAAAATGAAATTTAATTTTCAATTTTCATACTTCGTATGTTCAATGGAACTGGTAGCCATTTTGAAGAAGGGACACTTGTATGTTGCTCCCTCCACCAAACATACAGCCAAGATATTTTATCGGAGGAGGGTTGACTCTGGGGGAAATCGCACTCTATAACTACTAGTATTATACAGAGTAGGATTTCCTCCCGGGAAATTGAATCTGTTGTGGAATTTCCTTAGGGGAAATCCTACTCTAGAGTCATTTTTCCGTGGGGGAAATCCTACTCTAAAGCCAGTTTTCCAGGAGAAAAGATTTTAGAGGGGAAAGCCTGCTATACAAGACCGGCCTTGTTTGTTTGTTTGTTGTTTAACGTCTTCACTCATATGGAGACGCCAACACTTGCCGGTGGAGAGCTGCAAATTTTGACCTATACTCGGCACTGAGGGCCATTGAGCAGTGAGGGATCTTTTTCGTGCCAGCACCTGCTGCGACACGGGACCCCGGTTTATACGGTCTCCACGTGCCTCAGTGGGATTCGAACCCGCGACGTAAGGATCAACTCCTTACTCCGCGACTCTAGAGCAAACGCTCTAACCACTGCTCCACGCGGGCGACAGACCGGCCTTGTATACATATATAAATTCAGCGAAGAATCTTAAACAAAGGAACATTCGAAATATGTGCAAATTTTTTTTTTGTCGCCCACAGAGCAGAAACTTTTGGATCACTTTATCCAAGGGGGCCGGTAACATACTATGCTCGATTTTATGTGTTTATTACAGTGTATATATATTTATGCCCCCCCCCCTTCGAAGAAGGGAGGGTATATTGCTTTGCTGCTGTCTGTCGGTCGGTCTGACGGTCCACCAACAGTTTCCGTTTATTTTCTCCGCAGAGGTTGCACATACTGAAATGAAATTTGGTATACAGATTTATCATAAGAATATTTAGGTCAAGTTTTGTTTTGATTACGATCGAGCAATTTTTTTTTTTATTTATTTATTCAATTTGACAAAAACCACATGTGGCGCAAGTCATACATACAGTAAACAAATATATAGTCACACAGATTTTCTTATATTAAATGCATCACGTATGAAGTTACAAATATTTCTTGTTGATTTAACATCTGCTGGATTAAGAATTTCATAAGATATACATGTATTGTTAAAAAGTGTACAAAATTCACTTCTTAGTTGTTCATAAAGTGGACATACAAATAAAAAATGATGTTCATCTTCAACAACAGTTTGACAATTAATACAATATCTTTCATTTTTTTTTAATTTTATTTTTTATTTTTGACAGAGTTATGCCCCTTGGACTTATAAAAATTGCAATTATTTGCAGTTTCCGTTTATTTTCTTCGCAGAGGATGCACATACTGAAATGAAATTTGGTATACAGATTTATCATAAAAATATCTAAGTCAAGTTCTGTTTAGTGTACGATCGAGCAATTTTTGACAGAGTAATGCCCCCTGGACTGAGAAAAATTCCAATTATTGGGGGGGGGGGGAGATAAGTGTTTCACAAACATCTCTTGTATATACTATTGTGATCAAGTAAAATCTAGCATAGTATGTTACCGACCCCTGTGACTTTACCCAGCGTCTGTCTGTCTGTCCGTCCCTCTTTCCGTCTACCTTATATATATATATCTTGAGAACCATAAGGTGTATGGATCTGATATTTTGGTTATGTATATTGCTGGACAATATGGCTATATTTTAGGTTTATAGTTCGTACGTTGCATTCAATAAAGTTTAGCTTCAGACTTTATATAGAAAACTTAAGAGGATTTCAATTGTTGTGAACAGGGTGTTGTCATGAACGCTTGTATAAGACATTGTTTAGAAAGACCCGAGAAGGTAGTAAAGAAAAGGTAGACTTTTGATATCAATTGTTGAAATAACTGAGCTCTGTGGTCTTGGCATAATAGAACCTAAGTCACTGGTATACTTTATTGTACAAGTTAGTCGACAAAACCTCGGATATTTGTATTTTCGGATTATAACACGAAACAGACATGGTGTCTTTTCCCAGAATGCTCTACCATGAATTCGAGCAAGCGTATTCCTTTAAAAAATACTATTGTAGTTGTTAGTGCTCGAGAGAGCTTGCAATAAAGTTGTAGAGTGGCAATTGCAGTAAAGACAGACTGAAATCTCCTTCGAGTTACGAATCTGGGATTGTTGAATAGAATAATAAATAATTATTTCTAATAATTTCAATTTCATTATTCATTTTAATTTTGAGGGTTCAGGAATCATATAACTATTTTCACTTTACGATAATGCTTTTCTATCGCAAACTTATGGATACTTTTTTTTCTTTGCAAGCTTATGCATGAACTTAAATACCAGCATGCCAGCATATACCAGCAAATAAATAGCTGGCCCCTCTTAGATTTAGTGACCTATCACACCGGTACCCTGTCAATATAGACAAATTCTTGGGAAAAATTATATATTATAATTACTGAGGAACATGTCGTCTGACCTTAAGTCTTAAACTAATTGAAATGTATGTCAATTTATTTTTTTTAAATTCTGGTTTAAATTTGTAAAGTGGGTTTGGATATTGAACAGGTGCAACCTTTATCACATAATCACTGTTTATCAATTCACGACGTATGAAAGCTAAGCCTGATCTTTTACAATAAACATTCGAAAACTACATTTTTGTGTATTATTAATACCTCAAGTGATAAATGCTAATTGCGAAAAAAAATGTAAAACCATAAACCTATTATGGTTTTAAATGATGAACAAGTATAAAGCATATGCTTGAATTTAAACACTCCTTTTTTAGCATTTGTTATAATAAGACTATACACTGAATGACAATCTCTACACTTACTTTTCAATCTGTATCCACTTAAAAAGTGGTCGATTCCTACCTTGCTTTACACTACAGATGAATGCCGAGTCCCCGTGCTCCTCCCAAGCTACAGACAACAGTAGTACCACTTACCTAAGACCACGTCTCCTCCGCAGGCGCAGGAAATCCCCATGTTTTCAGATGATGGTGCGTTACGTTGCCAAAGGCTTCTTGACTAAGGAGAGTGACAGACAATATTATGCTGACAGATATACTTGCTGTCCCCCTCCGTGGTTCATACCTATTATTACATTGGCAGAGGTAAGTTTCCATACAAATCCGGACTTATATTGTTCAACATCACGAATTTAGTAGTACCGAATGAAGACAAAAATTAGTAAATCAAAAGGCCTGACATTTTTCCACCACACATAAAAGATGTAAATTTATAGACTTAAGAATCAGTAAACATGAATTCTGCACATGCTTATATATGTTTACAACTATATTTCCTCTGGAAATGAACCTGTTATCAGTCTTTATTTTGATTTAGGAGTGAAAATGGTTCATATATTAAGCTTGCTCTTTTCTGGAAATATATAAAAGATTTTGTCTAATGCATGCACCTTCTACTTATCTTTCTCTACCTATCAATGTCATATGACAAGAAAAGGAATGTAAATCTTAAATTATCGAGGCATATTTAACAAATATTGAAATGGTTAAAATATTTGAGGGTAGGAAGAAAAGTATAAACCAAATCTCAACCAGCTATTCATATTTAACGCCTAATAGTCAAATGTAGTGTAAAACACAGAGTTTTATAGAATGTACACATTAGGGTTAAATCATATTTGAGTTTGTTGCTAACATAAATTTATCAGCAAACTGAGGAAATAATAAATTTGCTCATTGAAGAATAACTTAATGCAATATTAATAATTACTAGTACATGTATATACAACTGTATATTCTTTTAATGCACGTTTATATTAGTTTAGTACAGAAAGTCTCTCAATTTCGAATCAAAGACTCAGAAGAGAAAAAGGCTACACATGAAGAATTTCTCACTCGACAGAGACTCTTCATGGCTTTAAGGAAAATCAAGAAATGAATTTATTAAATAATTAATGAATAGTCTATAACTAAAAAAAAATACTAAAAGTCTAGAGAACTTTAGCGTTCAATATCTTTTTTACAAGAAGTGTTAAGTTCACATTTGTCTTCATACCTTCTTAAATAATGTACAAAAAAGGTCGTAAATATTAAATAAAAATGTATTTGAAAAATAGACGGTGGATCTCTTAAAGTCTTAAAATGTGATTAAATTAAAGCGTTTGTACTGTCGTAATTCCCCCCAAGCCTGGCAGTCAATATGAGAGTCACCATATTTAGTAGATAGAAAAGCAAGTACCTTGTCCTTGGACTCTATATTTCTTCAAAATATATTTCTGCTATGCGTATAGAGCAAAAATATCGGATCAGTTCGCATGAAATTACATGCAACATACAGTGTTCTTTATTTCGGATATTGAATTTACCTATTTGATTTTGTTTCAAGTGAACATGTAACCGTTTAAATTATATATTTTCATATCAAAATAGATCGGCCTCTTCACGTATCATTGTCTGGACGCAGGGGTTATTTCTGCAAACGGACCAATACCAGTGGAAAGTGTTCTAATTTACCGACCAGATAAAAGAATTCAGTTATGGCGATTTATCATGTACACCCTCATCCACGCAGGGTAAGAACTATAACTCTACCAGGCAAAAATCGAAAAAGGTTTTAATTATTGATAAAAGATGTGGATTATTTTTTTGTTTTACAACAATTGTTTTGTTTCACAATATTTAAATTTTACCACATCTGCCATCTGTTCTACTGATAGAAACATTAATTGAAAGATTCAATGTCATTTCTATCAGTCTTGCATATTTTATAAGGATGTTCTCTATAGGGTAACTACTTTATAAATTGTTCTGAATACAAAGTCTCATAAAAGTGATCTTCGAATAAGATTCTGACAATAGATTAAAAATACACTAATATGGAAAAATATGCAGCATATCTCATTTTGATATCAATTTACAGTTGTAAGTAAGGCAAACCTTGTTACATTTTTGGAAGAAAAAAACATGCACTGGGAAAGCATTTTGGTACATCTCAGGTCTTTATCTAAGTTCACTAACTAGCAAATAATTTTTAAACGAATTTGAATTAACATGTAGACAAAAATTTCTTTGCATCTATATTTTCAGTGAAATAGAGGAAGTGAATTATGAATACGTACGCAGTGTAGAAAAAAAAAATTGTTCATAAACATAAATTAGCATCTTTATGAAATTGTAAATATTGAGAAATATATTCATTCGTCGGCATAAAAAAATCAACTAAGTTACAAACTTTAAGATAAAGTCGATATTGGTCACCTTTTCAGAAAATACTGTGCCCCTATTACGTATTCACTTAGGATGCACTCCAAATATTGAGTCATTGATAAAATTCTTATTTTTAAATATAAATTTGACAACTTATACTAGTTATTTTGTTGTTCTTGAAGATATTCTCTCATATCAAATATTGTACCTAGTATCGCCTTGATTTGAACAACATCTGACACCGATGGTTGATTGACCCAGCGTGACAGACTGTAGCTTTTTGATTTTGTGATGATAATTTTATAATTCTTACAAACCCTTTTGAACCCCAGCAGAAGTCCAACTTTATCCCTTGGACAATCGCTAAACAATCATAAGTACTGTTTGCAAATCAGTTTAGAATTTTAAACCCATTCCGCATCTCCACCTTATTACCAATTCTTTCATAAGAAAAAAATCGAATCCTCTCTACCAAGAAAACTGGTGTCAAATCCAGCTGAGTGGTTCAGTAGAAGATACAGAGTATCAGAATTCGATTTTTATCTTTCAGTACATATTAAATGCAGGTTTCCTTTTGAATTATTTGTAGGTATGTTCACATTAGTGCAAAGCTGTGCAATTCTAATTAAATCAACCAATAATTGAAAGTTCTTATCATTTGATCTAATGTAATATCATAGAAAGACCGTTATTGATCGCGAGTGAGGCATCATGATATTTTTGATTATATAATTTATGTGAATCCATATACATGTATCTATATTCGCTCTACATCACTTCTTACTTCCTATTTTAATATAAGTATACAAGCAGTGATTAATGTACAAATATATATTAAAAAAAATTATTGTTAGATTATAGAGATATATGTACTCTTTGTATGTTACAAAGATTTCTGTAGCATAAAAAAATATAGTTCGTACTATATGCTTAAGAGCTCTCTCTACACTAAGTAAGCAAAAGCTATGTTCATCAGTACTTAATTGTCTTTGAACATTTTTCTTGAAGGTAAATGGCTGGTACCCTATCTTGAAATTGAAATGAATAAACTCAATATCAGCACCTTTACAAAATATAATTGTCTAACTGTCCAGTTAACATTTTTCATTAGTGTATAGAGGGTCCTTAACAAGTCTTCTAAGTATAGGTACAAGTCTAAGAATAGGTAAACAATATATTTTCTAATCTTTATTCTCATAATTGCCTATTTATTTTTATGCAGTATATACATGTAATAATGACATTGTCATAAACTTAAAGACAATATTCTTATAGCACTCATTTTTATTTTTATTTTTTTTTTTTTATACAATTGTTCTAAGGTATTGTGGCAAATGTCATGGGGCCTTATTTTAATTTTTTAATATGAATTCTTGATAAATGAAAATTTTTATGCACTTTGATTTGTGAATATTTCGAAGAAAAACAAAACAAACTCAATGATTTCAAGAAAGGAATATTGATTTATTTTATTGAATTTGCAATTTACTCAGAATGTCCTACAATATTTCCCTGACAAAATAGAGTTATACATTTTTCCTGACACATAAAACTATCATTGGAGAGAAAAATTGGCAACAATTAAGGAACATTTTTAGATATACGAGTAGTGCATGAAATAAAGAAGAAACATTTTTTAAATATAATGCATGAAATAAACAAGTGAGGAACTGATAAGAAAACATAAGAAACAAATTATTCTCATTTAAAATTTAATCTTTTTTTCTTATTGAAGATGGGTTCACTTATTCTTTAACATGCTGGTACAGATCCTGGTAGGTCTTCCCCTGGAGATGGTGCACGGGTCAGGAAGAGTAATGATAGTGTACATTACAGGAGTGTTAGCAGGTATCATAAGTAATTAAATAAAATTTACTAAGTAATTTTCTTGTCAAAATTCAAATTGCCTTGTATACATAACGAAATTGGCATATGAAAAAATTGAGATATTATAATTCTTGCAAGTTCTCCTAGAATTTTGCTTGATTTTTAGTGCTAGGAGACGGTGTAGAAATATCACTGCAGATATTTGTCAGGAATGTTATAAGGTTGTCGATAACAAATTAGCAGTAATGTAATAAAAAATCAATGTTTGCGTGTGCAACCATAATTTGACAAATTCACAATCAAAATGATGATATTTTATGAGAAAATTTGAACGTCTTCAGAAAGATAAACTAATACTGCTTCCACTCCTTGGCATTCAAATTGTCGAACAGTGAATCGAGTAAAACTTTATGCATGGCAGAATACGATTCAAGATTTTCTTAAATGCATTGTAGATTAATGTACCTGATAACCCGTGGTTTCCCTCACATCCGTTTTGTGTATTGTGTTTCAGGGTCCCTGGGTACCTCTGTATTTGATACTAAGGCGTACCTCGTGGGGGCCTCAGGGGGAGTGTACTCGTTACTTGCTGCTCATCTGGCTAACATCATGCTGGTCTGTAACAACATATTATGATCTTCTCTCTTTGTCACGTATCTTCTATTGATGTGTAGTTTGTTCTCATTAGCAAGAAAATATCATATTTGTTTTAGTTTCATCACGTAAGGAACTTGCGTTAACATGCCATTTTCTTTTTGTTTTTACATGTTCAAAGATAATAACGTACAAAGACGTTGTTTTGTCATAAAATGTTCATATTTTAAAGTGTTGAATTCAGATTTAGATTGTTACAATTTTTTATACATCTTTATTATTTTGGTATATTGTAGAATTACTCTGAAATGGAATTCGGGCTCATTAAATTTGGTGCTGTTTTAATTATAGGTAAAGACTTTTTAGTGGTATTGTCACTATAAAATAAATCCACTACCAGTCCGATTTCTTCTGTATAAAAAAAGACTTTTGTAAAAATAGATGTACAAGTTCCACCCCTCCCCCCAATGCATAGACTTCATCAAGAGCAGCGAGACTATAATTTCTAAAGCTGATTATAAGAATCAACACACTGTAGATAAAAATTGTAATTCATTTATCTCTTAAATGTAAATGAAGAGACATCATCGGATTTTCGGTGATACAAAACCGCGAAAATGAATTGGTTTTAAATTCTACTAGACTCAAATTTGACTCATCGCTTCATCTTTTATTCGCGATTTGTCAGTCTGAAATCAATCCGCGACGATTAATTTTCGCGAATGAGGAAACATTCTCTACATAAACAAAGCAAAATAAATGGTTCGCTGTGATTAATATTAGTTAAAGTAGGTCGCGAAACTCGCGAACATTTCTCGCACGCGAATAAAAGTTGGTTTACAGTATTTTATTACGATATCACTTTTGCAGCTTGAAATCCAGTGGTTTATTTTATCCGAAACTAGGATTAGATATTCAATGAATTCAATAAAAAAAATTGCAAGTATTTTATCAACAAGATAAATGACAGTATAGAAATAAAATTCATAGGCTCATAATAAATGGGGTCAATGAAGATATATCATTTGTCGACTCCCCCAAACTTTTAGCTATACGCATTATACAACATGGAAACGTAAAGTAATCAGATAAGTAGAAGTTACTCCTCTCAGGTCAAATAAATCTACTGCCAAAAAAAAATACACTGATGAAGTGCTTTAATAAATGACAATATTATATCCTGTTGTAGCCAGTGCGGACGTGGGATTTGCAGTATGGGACAGGCTGCTGGAGAAAGATTTACTCCCCCAGGTCAGCTATACTGCCCACTTAATGGGGTCCTTAGCAGGACTGACCGTGGGGCTTCTAGTGCTCAAGAACTTTGACCAGAGGCTACACGAACAATACTTGTGGTGGATTGCTTTCGCTGTGTATATGGGTTGGACAGTTTTCGCTGTATGCTGGAATATCTTTTATTACTAATTCCAAGTGATGTTTCTCTTAGTTTCCATAATTATTGTTGAATCTTTGATATTTTTTCTTTTGTTGTTTGTTAATATTGTAAAATAAAGATGAAAATTCTTGGTGATTGCGTTTAGCTTCGATGATTCAATTCATGATAGGTACTTCAAAGCAATTTAAGTTCAAATTGTCATATATCCATAACCAGTTTGTGCTTCAATTAATGAATTCTTTTAATCATTGCAAATATGTTGGACAACTTTGATACTTTGAAGTTTCTCTACACTTATATTTTTTAGCCACTATATGTCATGTGAGTATTTTTGTGCTTAAGATGAAACATTCTATCAGAAAACTAATCTTTCGTCTTCAAAATATGAAATGAATTAATATGACACAAGTAAATCAATCGGTAAACCAAACATTCTAACAATGTGATCTTCCTGTTCGCTGATGAGACAGACATGTCTTGTTTCCTCTGATGTCAATTAATGTTTTCGTACTTCAGTTTAACCTGAATAAAATACGCTAAAATATTTTAGAATCAATTATAAAATCAATTGAATTTAAAATTTTTGCTGCGAATTAATTAGGTAACAACAACATATTTCTCAGAATTTGTGGCGTGTTTCATTACAACGTTGATAAAAGATCATGAGAATAATTCATTAGGAAACTTGTCATGGTTCTTTACCTTATGCAATACTAAGACAGATACAAATACTCGTTACTTAAGACTTCTTTTAATAATGTGTATATTACATGATACATTTCCTTACATTATCGGCTTACAAGTTTAGTACAATTGTTATGATTAAAAAGTCTTAATTCATTTTTTTTAAGAAATACATGGTTTTCTTTGATAGGAAACTGTGATATATTATAAATCATATACGTTCATTATAAACGCTTAATATTTTGGCATAATACACAATCGTACTTAACCAATCTTATATCTGATGTAAGTGAACAGGAACAAATATTTTCTTTCTTCCTAGTCTCGGAAAGATAAAATTCTAATATGATTCTGCTCAGTTCTAAAGATGGATGACATCATTTTCGTCAACATCATCTAGTTCTGTTACGAAGCCATTTTCCTCTGGTACATGGAGAACACATATCTTTAAATCACTCGTGATTGGTGCTTTAGAGATGGTTTTTCTCAAAGATATGTTACCTCTGCTCGGCATCACATGGGATGGAAGCTGAGATTTAACAGCAAAGCGTTCAATTTCTGGCTCGTCCCTTCCAAACATAATTGCATGGTGCAGATGTCTAAAGTTAGGGTTTCTAACCAATGGATTGGTTGCATACAGCAGTATTGCTGGTTTGGCAGTTTCTAACTTTGAAGAGGGTCTCTTCAAAATCTTCACTTTCCTCTCGATGTGGAACACACGTCTAAAGAAGTCTTGAACTTGTCTAAGTTGATGTGTGAACCCTTTCTTAGGTCTGGGGTCCATGGCGATAAATGTCTCGCAGGTATCTCTATTCTGAAAGAAGTCCTCCTGCTGTCCTGCTTGTTCGGGTTCACAATAAGTGCTACAAGTAATCAACCGTTTTATGGCGGATCTAAAATTTGTTCTGTTGTCCATATCCCACAAAGCTGATTAAAATACTACACAAGATAATTGTGTTTGCTGTGGAAACGCTTTTTGGCTTCTTGAAAGCTTGCGGCTTATTGTGACGTCACAATTGACTTTCGCATGACGTCACAATTGTGTTATTAATCAATCATGTATTTTTTTTTATTGTATTAGAGGCGACACCCATTGACGTCCTTTTTACAACTCACAAAACATTTACATGTATGTTTGCTTGCAGAGTAGATTAATATAAAATGCTCAACAATAATGACTACATGAAATTAAGCAAATGTATTGTGTTTGCCCCCCGCATTAATGAACCACACTGCACTGTAGAACATGATCTATTCATTTTTTTAAAAAAAGCTTTCTAACATTTGAACAAATTCTAAGGTGTTTTTGAGCTTGACACAAAGTCTATAGAAGTTGGGAGTGGCTATAAATATGTATGTTAATAGGCATAAAATATGTGCAAGGTTTCAAGAAATGAAAACTTCTGTATATCTTATGTTCTGATTTAAATTTCTATCGTGATGTTGATTAATTATCAAAAAAAAAAAAAAAAAAAAGGAAAAAGAAAGAAAGAAAAAAAAAAAGACCGACGCCTCTAGAACACAGATTCCAACTAAATTTATGAATTTCGACAAAACCATTTTGCCTACCCTTTCAATGAAAAGGGATCTGTGTACTTCAATATTTGTCACGTCCTCAAAACTTTTAGCCATCCACATAATACAAAATGGAGACGCAGAGTTATTGTTTTGTTGATGGAACCATTCCTCTTTCATAAAAGATTTGGGGTGTCCTTTTTAGTGGGCTATACCTAACGTTGCAGCACGCTCTTCCGTTGAAGTTTTATAAAGTTCTCGTTTATGTCATTAAGATAAAAGACGTTTTATTTGAACGTTGTAATTGTTTCTATTGGCTAATGACTGTTTTAATGCGTGCTCTTTCGCTCAATGTGTGTCGTCATGCAAAGCACCGGATAAGCTATTTTCTTTGATACGACAAAAGTAATGATATAGGAGGATCAATCGCTTAATTAGACGCTATCGTAAGTAAATCCAATGCCCTCCTATCTTCTGATTGCTTTTATTTGTATATTTAGTTTTATTTTCTTTGATGAATGAAGTAAATTTCATTCTCTCGAAGCTTCGATACAAAAATCTAAGAAAAACTATCTTTTCTCCATCACATTTCGATCTCATTTTACTAAGAGTTCTCCAGTACTTCAATAAGAATTTTTTAAAAAAAGGATGCATATTTGAACGAAAACAAACCTTTTACCATGGACAGATACCTCATCAATTAAATTCCTTTTCAGCTTCAGACTTTTAAAACGACACCAATGCATTTAACATTTTATTTCCCATGGTAAATCACCCGAGCCCGGGGAGTGGAAACAATTTATAGTTGTTTTTTTTTATGATGTACACAGTTATGCTTCTTTACGAAATACGAAACTAGTCGATCTTGAACTTTAAGAAGTGTAACAATTTAGCTCCAACATGTGAAGAAAAACACTCCAAGAAACAAACCTGAACATTTTAAATGGAAAACCTCACAAGCAGACTTAGTTCAAATTTATGCTAACAAGCAAATTCAAAGAATTATGGTCCCCCGGTTTTGCTGTCTTGGTGGTTGGGATCGATTATTTATGGCATATTGCAACTGTCTTGTTTGTGTGCCCTTCAAATTTCTAGGTGAAGGTCATGAAGTTTAGATGAAGGCCATTTCTGAAAGATGTTGTCATAGGTAATGTTGTGTAAAATATGAAAGCCCTATCTTCTCTCATCCAAAAATTATTAATAATTAAAAAAAATATTTAAAAAATATAAAATTAAAAAAACTGAAAGAATTGTAGGTTAAACTTTAAAGTCAAAGTCACGGAGTCAAAAAAAAAAAAAAAAACAAAAACAAAAAACAAAAACAAAAACAAAAAAAAAACCCAAGAGTTTATCCCAAAAGGTCTTGAACCAGGCAATGCAAATGTCAAATATAAATGTCCAATCTTCTTTCAATCAAAAGTTATCAGCAATGTATTTTTTTTATTGAAAATTAAGTTAAACTTCAAGGTCAGGGGTTTTAAAAATCACAGCACATTTGGAAAATCTTGACATAGGTAATGCACATGTCAAATATGAATGCCCTATCTTCTCCTTCATAATAATAATGATAATTTTTATGAAAATTAGGTCAAACTTGAAGTTCAAGGTCACGTGGTCAAATATCATAACAATTCGAAAACTTCTTGTCACAGGTAATGTACTTGTAAAATATGAATGTCCTATCTTCTCTCATTCAAAAGTTATCACCAATGTTAAAATTTTAGAAAAATAGGTCAAAATTCAAAGTGAAGGTCATGGGGTCAAATATCACAGCATGATCAGAAAGGACTTGTCACATGTGATTCACATGTCAAATATGAATGCTCCACCTAGTTATAAACAATGTTTAACTTTTTGAAAATTAGGTCTAACTTCAAAGTCAAGGTTACGTGATCAAAAATCAAAGTACATTTGGAAAGATCACGTCATAGGTAAGTACATGTACATGTGATATATGAAAATCCTGTATCTTCTCAATCAAAAGTTATGACCACGATAAAAGTAATGCTAATTTTTTTGAAAATTAGGTCAATCTTCAAGATCAAGGTCATGGGGTCAACAATCGTAGCATATTTGGAAAATTATATTCACAGGTAATGTACTTGTGAAATATGAAACCCTAACTCTTCTCTCTCAAAAGTTCTGATACAAAAGTTATGATCAAGATTAAAGTTTTGTTACAGACTGACAGACGAATGAGAATTAATGCCCCCTCGCTTTTGCGAAAGCGGGGACAATAAGCCTATTTTGGTAACCAATAGTAATAATATACTAGTGTTCTAATTTTATAACTTATAAGTATATGTACTTATACTGGCATCTATATGACTCTTTATTAAAAAATGAAGCAAGCTTATTTCACATTAATGGGGATATAGAAAAGTGTTTCAGCAACCGTGATAACGTATAAGCATAAAGTTTTTTCATTCCCATAAACGAAGATAATGGGGGGAGGGGGGTGGGGGTGGGGGGTTGTAAGTCTTACTGCTAATGGGTGATGACCTGTAGTGTATACGTTAGTCTGTGAGAGCTAACTAAAATCAATGATATGTCATTTTGCTTTGTAAGAAATCTGATGAACTGAAGCTGATGAACTGAAGTTGTGCAGGCTTCAAACAGTGCAGCGAAGTTCTTGAAAGACTCTTTAGTCGACTAAAGAATGATAATTTCCGGTGAATATAAAAATGTTCTACCCTTTATAACTTCTCTGCCTTCGGATCAAAATGGAGAATATCATGAATGTATATTGGTAATCCAAACTTTTTTTTTTGAGAGTGTGGTGAAATATTAATGAAAAAATATCAAACACCCACAAGCCATGAAACTGGCTTATGAATCTACATGTATATATA